TGAGTCAACCCTGAGCCGGTGAGATTTGAACCGCTGAACTGCTGATCTAGCAGTAGCCTGCAGTGCTGCATTTAACCACTGCGCCACCTCGACTTTATGAAGTCATTCATAAATTGTAATGCATGTCCCATCAGAATCAGGAAATAAAAATTAATAACTTGGTGGAGGGGAATCATAATTATTCAAATGTTAAATAAGATTGCTTTCCTTGCCCCGGTTATGGAATTGGCAATTTGGTGTCCTCCAGTTGTTTTCAACAACTCAGTTTGAGCTGTTGTCCATACTACTAAGACAGACAAAGTTCACCTAGGCATCCCAAAATTTCTATGGATGTATTACTCAAAGTATATATGACTAAAGAGAGATCTGAACTGTGATCCAAACATAATCTTTTCAGCAGCTAAACATGCCTAGTCACATTTTGCACACCTACTTCACGTGCCAGAATGCATTTTCTCCTGTAATATAGTTTTTAAAATAACTAATACCCAAAATAAATCTTATTCCTTTGCTGTATCTAATATAAAAGTAAGGGAAGAGTCTGGGGCGTGAGCAAGAGAGTCTTCCAAGGTTTGAAAGGATAACTTGTCTTGTGCATAATGGATTTTTCGTTGTGTGAGAAAAAATCTGAGAGAGCTCAATAAGATTGATACTTAATCTCTACTTTGATTCACGACTTAACCCTACTTCGAGCATGCCTAATATTCATTTTCCTGCAAAATGTGTACGATGCCTATAAGGAAATTACATTTATAATTTCCCAAATTAGTCATCTTATTGTCAAGATAAAACCTTAACAGGATATATATATTTTTTCCCCACAGACAGGACTATTAGTACAGAGCCAAGCTGTTTATTAGTTAATCAACTATAACAAGCTCAAGATTAAGCAGCATTAATTCTACTTTTAATCCTTCTGCACTACTTTCTTCTAAAAAGTTCCGTTTATTAAATGCTCTGCGATATTACAATGGAAGTCGAAATAGTCTGGAACTCATAGAAAATATGGTTGTCATTGATTAGGACAGTGTTTCTCAACCTTGTCAACTTGAAGACGTCTGGACTTCAACTCCCAGAATTCCCCAGCCAGCATTCGCTGGCTGGGGAATTCTGGGAGTTGNGTTATCCTATTGGCTTTGTGCTTACAGCAGGACTAAAAGTTATGGTTCCCTAGTTTCTAGTCTGATGTTTTAATGACTGTATCAAAGTGCATAATTGCAGATGGATAGATTGATGGATGGATGGATGGATGGATGGATGGATGGATGGATCAATGGATGGATAGATGATAGATAGATAGATAGATAGATAGATAGATAGATAGATAGATAGATAGATAGATAGATAGATAGATAAACAAAACCATTATATTCCAAAAGTAAATCATTTAAAGATATATATATTACTTTCTTTTAAAAAGTATTATCACCACTATATATTACTTACCAACAACATCAAGGTGATATGTGTGATTGATGGATCCATGGATATTCTCAACAATACAGGTATAATTTCCTTTGTCTGATGGGACAACGCTCTCCATTATAAGACTCCAGTGCTGATTCCGTACCTAACAGAATTTTTTAAAAAATAAAAATATTTTAAAGAGCATAAATTTTCAGTTTCTGCTTATTAAAAAGAAGGCTATTGTTGCTTAATGGAAGACCTTTAAAAGTGTTTTTTTTAATCAACTCGGTGGGGAGGGGGGCATGAGAAGTCGACAAGATGGTTGTGTGATGTCAAGTTGTTTTCTTGTTCTCCTGGGTTTTTAAGTACTATATTTTGTCTGTTTTTTTTTAATGTATGTTTAAATATTTTGTTGTTTTTAAAGTTTGGGGGCCCTGTCTACCACCCAAAGTCATGCTTTGTGAGATGGTCAGCTATATAAATTTGCTGAATAAATGAGCTGATAAATAACCAGATATATAGAGCAGTCCAGTCAATCTACTTAACTTTGCCAAAATACATTATATTTATCTCATCTACTTAATTACAAATTCATACTACTGACCAAAATGATGTATGTTGTGGAATGGTACTATTATACAAATGACATAATTTCAGATTTAACATTGAGCAATAATACACATTCCTCCCGACTAATTAATCCATTAAATTGACATTTGATGACTAGTTCTTCCTCTATTGAAAAACCAAAGCTGCAAATAAAAAAATCTTGCATTTCTGGAAAATAACTGATCTAGAATCCAGTTTCTCAACATCTAATTTTCTCTCCATCAAGCCTCAGGGGATTATTTCTGTTTTGAATAAAACAGCAATCAGTCAAGTAATCTCCAACACATAAAGTGTTTCTCCTTCCCAAAAGTGCTCATAAAACATCATGGATCATCCTCCAATGTGCTTCATCCTTCAATATAAGGCCAAGATTCAGAGCAAAGACAAATATTAAATTTCTGCTTCTTTTCCAACCCCAGTTATTTGTATTACTGTAGCTACTATTTTTTCTATAATATAATTTTTATATATAACTTCTTTTACATATATGCTGTTGGAACTTAGTTATAATATAATACTATGCATAAAATCTTTGAAGTTTAAAGAGTCTGAAAAGAGATGTTCTTTTTTATTTTCATATCTTTTTTTTTTTCCACAGATGAATATAATAATGAGCCTTTACACAGAATAAAAGACAGTGATTGTCTTCATAACAAAATCTTGGGTTTACTTTATACATTTTAGCTTCTTATTAAGCACCAGGAAATATTCAGTGAGCAATCAAAGGCTTGGTTTTTAATAAGCACTGCTGCTGTGGTATGTCTTTCTTTCCTTCTATGACTCAGATTGTACAAATGTAAAGTAAATAGTTAAAAGAGTTTACATACAGTCAAGTAAGAAAGATGTACCGTCATTTTCAGACTATAAAATACTCCGGACTATAAGACACACCTAGTTTATCGGGAAGAAAGTTCGGAGCAGCCCATTCGCCACCACAGCGCATGTGCCACCGCCCATTCAGCACGGCCTGTTCACCGGCACCCATTGGCCACCGCTGCCTATTTTCAAACAGCTGATCGGCACCACGCCAAACCCCCCCTTCCCCCTCCCGCCGCAATATTCACTTTATAAGATGCACAAACATATCCAACCACTTTTTGGGGAGGGGAAGGTGCATCTTATACTCCAAAAATATGGTAGATATAAGGAGTCCATGAACCATTCATATATTCTTTCTACATGAAATTTAAGGCAAGTCACTAGCAATTATTAAGAGCCGAGGTGGCGCAGTGGTTAGGGTGCAGTACTGCAGGCCACTTCAGCTGACTGTTATCTGCAGTTTGGCGGTTCTAATCTCACCGGCTCAAGGTTGACTCAGCCTTCCATCCTTCCGAGGTGGGTGAAATGAGGACACAGATTGTGGGGGTGATATGCTGACAAGAGCCAAGGTGGCGCAGTGGTTAGGGTGCAGTACTGCAGGCCACTTCAGCTGACTGTTATCTGCAGTTTGGCGGTTCTAATCTCACCGGCTCAAGGTTGACTCAGCCTTCCATCCTTCCGAGGTGGGTGAAATGAGGACACAGATTGTGGGGGTGATATGCTGACAAGAGCCNTAATAATAATAATAATAATAATAATAATAATAATAATAATAATAAAATAATTAAATCATTCAAAAAAAACTACCTCATTAGTATAGATATATCCATCATTTGTTTAATTACTGGCTGTGTGTATCAATTCCCTTTTACATTGTGAAATTGTGTCACTCATATTTGACAGTGAAATAGTTGAATTATGCTGGCACAAGTACTTTAAAACTTTATCAATTTTTTAAAACTTACCTCTGAACAACCTTCTTGGTAGGCAAACATACTGGGTGTATGTAATCACTGAAAAGTACAGGCTTAGCCAGACGTAATAGTGCAATATCCCGATCCAGATTTTCCATCCAGTTATATTTGGGGTGGGTGATGATTTTATCCAGGAAGATAATTTTCTCCTTGCCCTGCTCATATCTGAATATCCAGAGATGAGAAAAAATGCAATGCTAATATCAGGACATTTTTAACTTTCTGTACTCCTTATAGTATGAACGTCAAATAGTAGTTTAATTGATTTCCCTTTCCCTTGTGTTAGTTCTGTAATATTATGATTACTATTTCTAATATGATGATGACTATTAACTTTATTGAATGTCTATCCAGATAGAACACTGTGAGTTTAACAAACAGAATAAAGTTACAGGTTATTATCATTACAAATTAAATGATGGTAACAGATTCAACTGGTCTTAACAGCTGTATCAAAATTGTCAAGCAATGTTTTTATTCACCAACACACGGGCTACAAACTGAGGACAATCAAAGAGATACTGTATGTGTCCATCACAGTTAATTATAGGACCATTCTCAGTCATTCTCAATAGAAAACATATTGTAAGAAAAGCTCATTTCCGTCACCCCTGCAACACAAGTATATGTAGTCCACAACTGTAGGGGTTGGCATCAAAGGAGACTGCATTTTTTTGAGCAGTTTTCTGCAATATCACAGAAACAGATATCTGTCCAAACTGATTAATGAGGTGGCCGAAGGAATTAATCACTTCTTTAAAGCATTATTGTTGTGTCTTCACAACGTTATTCTCTCAGCTCATATATCTTGAACTTAAATATTTTAAATCTACAAGACCTGGGTCATTTCTATACAGAGAAAATTAAACTGAAATAAACCTTGCATCCTGGAACTTTTAATTGCCTGCAGATGTGAAGTAAATGGAACTATAAATAAGAGGAGCAGAGTTTAGGAGTCCCAGAATTGCTGGGAGTCAGCATTTAAATTTAATCAATTATTATTATAGTTGGTCATGCAGTCAACTAGATGTTTAGACTGGATTCAGCATTTTTATCTACCAGTTGAGTCCTTCCCAAGGTCCTGGGTAACTATAGAGAGATGTTGTTGTTTGATTGTGTTATATTGTTGCAGGATGTAAGCTGTTTCAAGTAAAGCTCTTTTGAAACTGACTAATGGTGATTTTATCAATGCTGATAAAATGTTCAAGTAATGCTCTGGATATTCTGGGATTGCAGCCAAAAATATCTATTACAACTATCACAATTTTTGGTTTCTTTTGCCAGAGTCATTGGTCTTTGCATTTTGTGATGCTATTATTAAAGTTGGTGGATTGAGGCGTTTCATTCCTGCTGACAAGTCGTCTGCTCTGTCCTTGTGATTTCCATTTCTGCCCCTGTTTCAATAGGACACCACCTTCCAGTTAGGAAAAAGGGGATGATAGAAGGCTGTTATGTGGTGGAATGTAGTCTGCATTCCCAGGAGGGAGGGAGTGCATTCCAAGAGGAGCAAACTACAGAGAAATTTGGATAGTTGTGTGGGAGAAAGAGAGTTAAGGTAGCTCCTCCCTAGTAATTCTCAGAGTATACAATATGTGTAATGGTCCAAGTATTCTGCTTTAGTTTGGCAAGATTACTGCCTGGGGTAAAAAAAAACAATAGAGGAAATTCCTTAGAAGAATTTCAGTGTGACTTTCTTGATTTTTGGAGCCTGGCAGTTATGACCTACACTCAGTGTAGAATTTGACAGGCTTATAACCTTTTAAGCGCTTACCGTATCCTGTTATGTTTGCCAATCCGTACAAGGAGGTCATCGGTTGTGTAATTTTTATCCCAGGGTGGATAGAAAATGCAATGTGCAGCAGTGAGGACCCAGCGACTGCTGAGGAGACTAGCACCGCATACTAGCTCCTGTGGTTTCTTCTTGAATATCATGACTTGCCTAAGTACAATAAAATTAGAAATGCAGCGCGTAGGAAAGCAACTTTTTCAGGATTGATCATATCATTGAAATACTCTACAGGTGGAGAATGGATAGACTGCAATTGACTTGCATGTTATCTTTTCTTTGTATTGCTCGTTCCTCTTACTGCCCAGGGTTCACAAAGAGGAAAGAGATAGAAATTAACAAGGTATACTTCTTTTAGAAGCTGCAGTGGCAACTCATGCATCAACTGCAGTGGTGGATTGCAGTTGGTATGCCCCGGTACGCGCTTACCAGTGCCTGCCGGAAGCAGCAGCCACTGTACCAGAACAGTGCTTTGGAGGGCCCACCCGCCCTCGTTCCTTACCTGTATTTGAAGGAAATAGGCCATCTGCGCATGCACGCACAGTGTATGGCGCCTGCGTAACTCTCCACTGAGCAGCTGAAGCATTGCAGGTGGTGGGTGCACATGCATGTGCAGTGTGCGTGCCCGTGGTACACGCCTGGCTCCCATTGCAACATACCGGTTGAACAGGAGCCGAAACCCACTACTGATCAACTGATACAGTCATTGTCAGTAATCAAACATACACAGGAAGGAAAATAAGCAAACTCTCCCCATTCCATCTCATTCCCACAACCAGACTTACCATGGTGCACTGCCCACTTCAGCATCTACCCCCTTCACAATTCGGCCTTGGGAATAGGACTCCAGTAGCTCATTCTCCGTGTTGTCAGAGATTTGCTTTTTCTCAAACAGGGGACGGATGCCACAATCTGGAAATATAGCCCCATCCACATGTGATTGACTAGTTCACAAGTTCACAAGTCTTTCATAAGCCAAACATCTGCTAGGAAGAGATGACAGTGAGTAGCTAGCTTCTGGCATAAGAACTTTTCCTGATCAACATGGATGTTGCCCAGAAAAGGTGGAAAACATCTGCCTTAGGGAAGATTGGTTCTCTCTTCTACCAACCTCAACCATTATCATGGACAACAACAAAGTGTTTGAGTAATCTGTGGTATCCTGTGTGCAGTGTGTCAGTGGATCATTTTAGAGGACACCATTGGCTGAGCATGACTCTCCTTCAATCAGGGCGGCTTTCTATTTGCTGCACTTAATTTATCCCAAAATTAGCTATTATGACAGTATTATTTATGAGCCTCCTTATTAACTCTGAGTCAACACAGCTATGTTGAGAAAGGAAATTTATGCTAGTGCGATCTGAATGAAGCACGCAAAATGTTTGTATATGCCCAAAAGGCAGAGTTAAGGAGAGACAGACTTCAGTAGTGATTTCCTATCATTCTTATTTTTCATAGCAAATAAAACTTATTTCCCAGATTTCTACTCTGCCCACCTCCTGTTGGACAATGGTAAGACCTTTGAGGAAAAAAGAAAATGCCCATAAACAAATCATCTGATTACAACCACAGGCTACCTTTTTTGTTTTATATATGTTTTCTTTTGTGTCAAATATTTTAACATTCTTATTTGCCCATAGCCATTTAGGCTTGAGGTAGAATGCCATTCAAAAGAGTAACCTCTAGGTTGAAAAATATGATGTTTCTCTGTGCTAATCCCATATTAAATGAGGAATTATATTATCTTTTTTCTCTAATTTCACTAATGTTCTTTCTTTAATTGATTCCTTTCCTCACCTGCTTCACCTTCACCAAACGTCTTAGGATCAAAGAAAGTTTCATGTTGCTGGTTAGTAGTTCGTGAGATATCAGGAATATCATCAGCATAATTTAGATTGTTTTCTGAAATGAAGAGGGACAGAAAAATACAAAGAAGTAATTTAGTTAAAACATTGTGATTTCTCTGTCAGTGGACTTGAGCATTCTTGATATATGAGGAGGCCCTATGGATTCTTAGCAGGGGGAAAAAATAGTCTGCTGCCATGATAGTTGCTGGGATCCAATAAGTTCCTGGATTTGGTGGGGGCTCATCTGTGGACTTTTTGTTTTCAGCAATGCGTGTTACACTCAAAAGAATTACAATTGGAAAACAATAATTCCACTGTAGAACCTCAAAATTGTCCTCTATTAAGTATCAGCATGCCCTCCCGGATACTACATTCCTTCAGTGAGCATGGAAATAGAAGCCTGTTCCTCACCACAGTAGTTCAAGTTGCAATAATTGTAGGTCATGTTTGGGTGGTCTACGTAGCACCAGACCCCTTCCTCATCATGATCAGGGTTGCGGCAGTAATTCTCCTCCAGGGGCACTTCGTCCAAGAAGTTTTTGCTAGCGCTCAACTGTCTTACTTTTTCTGAAGCCCATGGCAAGCACTGGTCTCCAGACACTGTGACAGAAAGAGTCCCTCTATAGAGCAACCCTTCCTCAGATTCACATTCTTCCTCCTGCTGTGTTTGCCCTTGTAAATGCGGAGGTGTTGGAGAGAGGGGAACTGTTGTCCGGTTCTCACCTAAAAGGAAGAGCAACATTACTGTAAGCATTGATGAAACAGCATCTCAGCTGACAGAAAAAAAGGCACAGCATCTGTTTTCCCTGACAGACATGCAGGACCTGAAAGTAATGGTTTTGCTTCATACTACACATGTCATTCAACTGTTACTTTACATCAAGTATTTATCTTAGTCTGAATTCTGAGGACAAGCTAAGAACTTGTGGTGTTCAGTTTGATGAACTTGGGGGAGACATGATGGCTGTGTTCAGGTCTATGGAGAGAAGTTAAAGGGAAGGGGGCCATGATTTGCTCAAGAGGATGCCGTTCAAACGTTTGTTCTGAATCTCAATGATAAGCCTAAAAGTGGCCAAGCTATGATTGTACGATTGCGTGGATTATAGTCTAATTTCATGCAGATTTTTGCCTAATTCCAAAGGTAGTGTGCAAGCAATTAACGGAGACTTCTAGTGAGAATAATTTATCCTAACTGCTATGCAGGAAGGGGTGTAAGAGTAAGTTGAAAAAACAATCAGAAAGAGGAAATTGAAGAAAATTAAAAGTGTCAGGAAAAAATGACTTCCAGGGAAGCAACCAGACTGAGGAGCTAACAACTACGGTAATAAGATGAACAGGTGAACGGATCAGCTCCTTGGAATTCCTCTCTGGATCAAGGAGGAAAGTGAGGAAAGNTGAATTTCCAAAATGTAAAACTCTGGTTTGTATATGAATGTATCTTGGGGTAAAAAAATGACTTATAATTCCTCTTTCAAATTTGGATAAGGCAAGATGATTAAATAGAATCCCAAAATAACAGTGATATGAATATAATATGTTATAATAATAAATTTGGGGAGGAATTAAAAAAATGAGAATTTGTTTTAAAAAATGTTTTCATGCACTTTACACAACCAAGTTTTCAAGTATTTTATTTATTTCGTAGTTCATAGCCATGTTTAAGTGGCTTCTATAATATCCTGATTAATTATTTCATGAATCAATTACTTATAATTAATTATAATTAGACTTTTAAAAGATCTTTACACTGTGAGGTTTTCAGCTTTTATATATATAAGATGGGTTCAATACTCTTGGAATAAAAAACAAGAGCTTGGGATTGCAAAATTACTTTTTAAAAATTCATTGTAATATGGATATATTACAAAAGCAAATATTTTTATATTAATCTGTCATTGTTATTAAATAGCTATTATATAAATCTATATTTTTATAGTATGAATCTGTTAGAATTATGGGTAGCAAATAAACATGAACCTTGTCAAGAAGTATTTAGGAACTTAAAATCAAGATAGAGCTCTATTTAAATAATCATTTGTACCCACACAAGCCAAAAACAAAAAAATAAATTATACTACTAGTTAACCCAAATACTGATTAAGTTTTGAGACTTGGCTTTTCTGTAATATAAATACTTTTGAAAAGAATTAAATGCATGCCTAGTACTTTATTCTTCAACTTTTTAACAAGTTTAATTTTGGGGGCAAGTAGAATTAATGCTTAAGTTTGGTGATTTTTTGATATAGTCACATCATTTTTTTTTCCTTTTGGGAATACTAAGGTTGTTAAAATGAAATCTAGGAAAAAATTACTGTCCCAGAGGAACATCATTTTTTCCAAAATATTCTTCAAGTTGAAGAAATATATCAAGAAATGTCTCACACTATTCTTTTATATCACTGGCTTAGAAAATAAAGAAAGTAATAAGCTAATACTTTCAAGCTAAGGAAATGTATGTGGAGTGCTCGGTGCTCTGAGTTTAGATTGTCTGATTGCAGACATTTCATGCTCCCTGTTCATATACATAGTTTGCCTGCCAATGTTGCTGGACAAGCGGTTTTCTCTTTGTTAATTCCTTGATTAGGTTTTTTTTCTGTTTCATTGTTTGTATGGTATTAATCCCTGCTTATTTGGGTGTAAGCTGCTGGTGAGGATGTGTTCTGTTCTTTTTGTTTCCTTTTTGGTTTTTTAATTATCTCTTTCATACACATTTATGATGGTAAATGTGGTTTATTGCTATGTGTTTGTAAGTAAATGTCTTCCCAGCATTGAACTAGGGAAGAGACAAGAGAATGAAGGGAAAAGAAACAATCTTTTGTTCTCTTGGAGCTGTGAAGCAGCTGTTTTCCACTAATGTTTGATTTGCTAGTATGTTTATTTTGCAAAGTCTAAGAAATACATTTACTCATAAGTAAATTGACTTTACACTGTGACTTAGACAGGAAGAAAAAGAAATATTGGATGAGTAGCCAACATCGTGATGAAATGGACGTGCGGTCTTGATGCTCTGAGACCGCAGCCAATACTTTTGCCGCTGGGTGGTCCAATCAGACCTAAACCATCCCGAAGAGATGGTGAACAGGAAGAATACGTCTTGCTGACCTCAGGGATATCACAAAATCCTTGAAAGAAGCAAGAGAAGTTCTTCAAGACAAAAAAATCCAGCCAAGGCTGACAAAGTCAGATTGGCTCCAAAATAGAAGAATAAAGAAAGAGAAAGTGTTTTCAGCTGGTGAGAAACTTTTACTGTTTTAAAAAGAGATTGCCTATAAAAACTTAAAATTAATCTAAATTGGAGAACAGAAGAATCAAGTGGCGGAATTACATTTGGAATGGTTTTGGACAGTGTTTATATTACTTTTCAAATGCTATCTTCATTGATGAAATTTATGCAAGCCTTTTTAGATGGATGGATTAAGTTTTCTTCTTCTATTTTTTCTTTCATTGTTCTCTGTAACCTATGGACTAAAGTTTTTGTCTTTCATTGCTGTGGGTATTTTTCTAATTCATTTAAAGACTGGACTCTTTTTCTAACTTGAAATACAAAAAAGATACAAAAGAAAATTAGATTTTCAACAGTATTACCACTGCTCAGAGGCTGGGAGGTTTTTGTTGATTGGAGTTTTGTGTATTGAAAATGGAATACTTTTTTTCTCCATGGATTGTTTTGACTTGGCTCTACAAGGTTTTACTGCTTGGCTACAGAGAGTGATAAGAAGGGAAGCACACAGATGTCCCTTTTGAAATATATT